GCCCAGCTGCGTTTCTCCCTCCCTGGTCCTCCTGGGCCCCCAAGGACGGGTGGGTGGGTGGGGGTGGGATGGATGGAGACGGTTTGCAGCCCTGACTCCTCCACCTAGGAAAGAAGAGCGTCCCCCCCCCCCAAGGCCTCGTCCAGGCGTCCTGCGGAGGAGAAGCCCCTCCTGACTGCAGAGGCTTCGCTTTCGCTGATAGCTGGACTTTATGGCCGCAGTGGGTGAGGATGAGGCTCCTCCGAGCTGCATGGCGATTCCGGAGCGTTCTCTTCTAAAATGCAGCTGCGATAATAACATTCCCTCCCAAATCTCTTCTCCCCCCCCCCCCACTTCAGCTCCGAAAGGAAAATACTGCTACTGAGAAGGAGGCCTCGGGCGGGGAGGAAAGGGACGAGCTCCGGAAGGGAAGAAATGGGGGCTTTCTTCTTGGGGGGGTCACTGCTTGCTCCTAAAACCAAGTGCCAGATTTGAGGTGAACTCGAGGGACTCCAGAGGCTCCGGCAGCCTTGAAACTGAAGTGGCCATTTTGTGACTTCATAATAATTGTTTATTTGGAATTACACACACTGACACCACACGTATAATGCAGAGTATAGAGCATAAATGCTTATTGCTAGCACAGGTCTTTCTGAAGGTACACGAGAGAAAGAGAAACATTCCTTTCACCACGAATATTGGATAGAAGAAGAAAACTCCTTTCTTAGAACATTAAAACAAAGAAACCCCACAACCTTCTGCTATAACACTGTAGGACGTGACGTTCGTCTTATCCAGCTCAGGAACAATTCTTGTATCTTGCTTGTGCTTCACCACTGACAGAGAAGAAGGACGGAGGATGCAGAAGCATCACTGGCAGAAAACACTGGAAGGCGGGGAGTGTCCAGAGGGAGCGCTGCCCACCCCCCCACCCACCCCGAAAGGCCCGAGGCAGCCCTGGCACTCAGAGGGAGCTTCTCCTGGGCCAGGCAGGTGGAAATGGAGGGCACCTGCAAGGACACCCATCTGTGTGCAATGAGGCTTGCCTAGAAAACGCCTGCTGCTCTGGGCCACGTGGCCTGGGTGGGTGGGGGGCACCCTGTCTTGTGCCATGGAGACCAGAGGGGGAATTCAGCTGGTTCTCTCCAGTTCGGGGGAGCCGGTAGCGGCGGCTGCAGGAGGCTCCGCCCACCCACCCCAACATAATGCGCGCGCACTGCCCATGCGCAGAAGGCAGTGCACACGCGCAGACGCAGCGAGTGTGCCCACATTTGCGCACCGGCAGGGAAGGTAAGTGAGTCCCACGGTTGACGGAGGCCCCTGGGCTGCCTGGAGCCAGTCTTGGGCGCTGGCTGACTCCGAAGAGGCCGGGTGTTTCTGACACAGACTCCTTGGGGAGACCCCTCCCCTGAATGCAGCTGAAAACACACAGCTGTCCTCCCAAGAGCCACAGCTCAGCGCAGCCCCTTCGGCCTTTGGGCTCCCAAAGCCTCAGAGGGAATCCTGGGCTTTGGCCCAGTTCCTGGGGAAGCCTGGCTAGATCTGGCCAAGCGCTGCGCTGTGGCTGGCCATGGGGTTCCCAGGGGCTCCCAGCTCCCTAGCCAGGAAGGGGGGGAGGCTTCAGGGGCCACTGAGTGAGTTGAGGGCTCCTTCTTTTGGAAGAAAAGTTTCTGCCCAAGATCATTTCAAGCAGAAAGCAGCCAAGGAGGATGGGTCTCTGGCTGCCCCTTTTAGTTCCAGCCTCCTGAGGCTGTCAGTCGGCAGAGGTTTTTGGGGGAGGGTCCTCCCCAAACCCTCAGCCAGTGCTGGTGGGGCGGCAGCTGTTTGGCCACCCAGGGGAGCCATTTCAAAGAGGGCTGCCTGGGGGGCCTTTGGGAGTCAGCTCCCCGAGAAACACGGAGGCCCCTGAGCAGGGGAGGAAAGCACCTCCCCTCCCCCAACGGGCAAGGGGAGCACATGGAGGTCCCAGGAAGCCCATTTCCCCGAAGCAGCAGTGAGGGCTGCTGAGGGGGGCTGCCTCTGGGTGACCCCTGGGGGAAGGAGAGGGAGTTTGAGGAGTGGCTGCCGCCTCTCCAACCTCCCCCAGGAAGCCCACCTGGCCAGGCCCCCCCTTCCTTCCCCGAGGAGAGCGAGCAGAGCCTCCCAAGGCCGTGGCACAGGCAGCCGGACGGGTGCCCACAAGATGCCCCAGGCTGCTGCCTGCCTTGGCCAGAAAGCAGAGCGGCTTTCCCGGCCAGGGGCTGCCTCCTGCCTGCTCCTCCCCAGGAAAAGCCCCCTCGGCAGGGGAATGGGCCATCCAGCTCGAGCGCCTTTCAAAAGATCAAAGGAGTGCGGTGTCAGCAGTGGAGAAGAACCCCTCAAGTTGAATAATGAACTTGGTTGCGATGTTATTTTAAAAACAAACAAACATCAGTGTCACTTTTTAAAACTTCCTGAGTGCTGAGTCCCTCTGGAGAGTGGCAGGGGCGCGTCTGGTGCTGGGCAGCCCCCTCCTCTTAGGAGTTCTTCTGGGGAATCTTGATGGTCACTGTCTTCACTTCGCAGTATTCTCGCAGGCCACTCTCTCCCCTGGCCGCACAAGGAAGATGGGGAGTCAAGGCCGGGCCCAGGGCCCCCAACCAGCACCCGGAGCCTGGGCCACGGGCAGGGCCAGCCCCCCCCCCACGGGCAGGAGCAGGGCCGCCTCAAGAAGGACAGCTGGGACTCAAGGGCCCCCGAAGGAAGGAGAGAGGAGCCAGGCCACTCTCGTCCAGCTGGGCAGTTCCAGGAAAAAAGGGAATCCTCCTGAGTAGCAGTTCTCCCACCCCCAAATGCATCTTGATCGGCAGCCCCTCCGACCCCCCCCGGACCCCTCCTCAGAACCTGCAAGCCCACTCTCTATCCAAGGTGCTTACATTTCTCTTCCATTGCCGGACATCTTGAAGCCCCCGAAAGGACTCTGGGCATTCAGGGCATTGTAGCAGTTGACCCTGGAGGAAAAGAGGGAGAGGGGCGTGAGGGCGGCCCCCGCCTCACCCACCAAACCATTGCCCAGCTGTGCTCGCAGCCTCACCAGACGGTTCCCGCCTGCATGGCAGAGGAGACGGCCAGCGCCTTGTTGATGTCGCTGGTGAAGACGGCAGCCACCAGGCCAAAGTCAGAATTGTTGGCTCTCTCGATCACTTCCTCCATGGTTTTGAACCGCAGGACTCCTTGCACGGGGCCAAAGATCTTCACGGGGGAGGAGGGGAAGCGGGGAGAACAGAAGGAGGACAGTCATGGATGGGAAGAAGTCCAGGAGGATTTGTAGCCCCCCACCCCCCCCACCCCCGTGTGAGGCTTCAGCAGCACATGGGAAAGGGCAACACACAAAAGAAATGGGTGAAGCTCTCAGCCTGGGGCAAGGGAAAAGAGACCAACAATGGGATGGCAGAGAAGGGTGTGCCCCAGAGATGTTCCCTTGAGGAAGCGACACACAACCCCCCAAGAGACCAAAGCTGAAAGACTGGGGAGCCCCCGGGAAGCCTCCTCGGACCAGGGCGGGGCGGGAGAAGAGCCTCCGGCCACTTGAAGAGAGGCTCAGCTGTCCCTGGTGATGGGCTTCTTGGCGGCTCTTCCAGGAAGAGATGCAGATGTTGGATGGAGCTCCACAGCCAAGCAGGGCCCTGTAGCCTCCCAGCTCGGGAGGACTTGGGGGCCTGGCTGAGCCCGACAGAGGGGTTGGAATCTCAGTAGGGGAGGGGGAGAGGGAGTTGGGGGGGGTCAGCTGGGTACCTCTTCCCTGGCGATGCGCATGTCATCAGTCACGTTGGAGAAAACGGTGGGTTCAATGAAGAACCCCTTGCGCCCCAGTCCTTGCCCCCCGCACTCCAGCCTGGCCCCTTCAGCCACGCCACTCTGGATCAGCTCCAGGATCTTCTTGTACTGCTTCCTGTCGATCTGAAGAGGGGAGGGGAGGCTCTGTGGCACCACTGGCCCAGCTTGCCCTCCCGCCCTGCCCTTGTGAGCCTCTCCTGGCGGTTGGCTCAGGGTGGGGCTCCATCCCCCACCCACCCACCTGTGGCCCCTGCTCGGTGGTGGGGTCAAAGGGGCTCCCCACAACTCTCCTCTTGGCCCGCTCCACGCTCCTCCGGACGAACTCCTCGTAGATGGGCTCCTCCACGTAGACGCGGGAGCCGGCCGTGCAGCATTGGCCTTGGTTGAAAAAGACCCCCTGGTGGGCCTGCTCCACCGCCTGCTCCACTGCAAGACCAGAGAGACCCCTGAGGCATCGCCCAGCACCCCCTGCCCGGCCCTCCAAGGGGGGAGGCTGGGCCAGGGAGGGGGGTTGAAAGGCCAGGGCATCCTGTGGCTTATCACAGAAGAAGAGATTAATTTACACTTGTAAGTGCTATAAAGGAATTTTTTTCCTTTCTCTTTTTTCTGCAGATTGGTCTTTGATCTCTTTTCTCTTTACACATTATTTATATCTTCTGGAGAGAGATTGGGGGGGGGGGCTGTTCTGAGGAGAGAAAGGAGAAGCCTCCAAAGGGGCAACTTACAATCGGCATCTGCGAAAATAATGTTGGGGCTCTTCCCCCCGAGCTCCAGTGTCACCCGCTTCAGGTTGCTTCTGCCGGCGGCTTCTTGAACCAGCTTCCCCACCTGAAAGGGAGAAGAAGGGGAGCCAGTGCCCGGGGCAGAGGCTGCCGCTGTAACCCCTGGATGGGCCGGAAGGAGGGAGGAGAGGAGAGAGGCTCTGGCCATGGAGGTACGGAGCTGCCTGTGGGAGGCTGGCTGGTCTTGGGAAGAAAAGCTGGTTCTTCTCGGGTGAAGCCGAGCTTTTATTCAGAGACCGGCTGGCACCCGTTGCCTTCGGTTAGAGGAGGCCAGGTGAAAATTTGGCATTTGTTTGATTCGCGCAGAGCGAGGTTTCTCTGACTACCAAGGACCACCAAATAACAGCCCAATAAATTCATGCAATTTCAGGGGTCGGCTGAGAAAATCCTATTTGTTTTCTACCCTCATTCATTCCTTCTTTGATCTGGTTTGTTTTGAATTGCTTTCTTGGAAATTAGTTAAAAACTCTGCTTTAAATTTGTCTTCAGCTGCTTTGGAAACGTGGTTTATGGCCGAATGGAAAATGGTTCTGTTAAAAGGGAGGAATGAGACCCAGGCAAGCGGAGGCCCTTGCAAGTCTTGGAGGCCTCCCTGGAGCCTTGTGGAGCACGCCAGGCTTATGCCAGCCTCCAGGGGGGGCCATTTGCTGGGCAAACCGGAGCCCCCTCTCGGGCTGATGTGGAAATCTGCTCCCTCAACCAGCCAAGAGTTGGTGCGCAACCCTGCGCCCAGCTGAGCTCATCCTGCCAGACCAGCCACCACGAAGCCCAGAGGCAGCCTCTGCCCTCCCGATGCTTAGAACTGGGTTGTGGCCAAGGAGGGTGGAAGGATCGACTGGGACATTTTAGGGCCGAGGTGGAAAACGGAAAGGAGTCGCTCGCCAGGGGAGGTTCTGTGCGTATGTTAGGGTGGGACTGGAGAAGGAGACCCTCTAGGCAGAAGGGCTTCCTTAGCACCAAGAAGCCAGCGTCCCTGATGTCACCCACCGACTCCCGACTGGCTTCTGGGCTTCCATGGCTGGGGGCCACTTCCTAGCCTCGCAAGGGCCCCCCGTTCCAGGTTGCCACTGAGATGGAGACCCCGGAAGGTCTGAAAACAGGCCCAGGAGCCATGCAGAGAGCTTTTTCCCTGGGAGGGGGGGGGCTGGCTCCGGGTGTCCCAGCCTGGAGGACAAGATGCCCTGGGAAAGCTGCAGGCCCAGGCCTGCTGCTCTTCCCGGAGGTGGCCGGCTGGCCGGTCTCTGGCAAAGAGGCAGGAGGTGCCTGCTGAGAAGGGCCGCAATGATCAGCAGCAAGACAGCTGTTTGCTCCAAACATTTGCTTGGCGTGAACCAACATTGGCCTCTCCTGGAGTTTGCTTTGATGGTCCTGCCCCGTTTCTTGTTGACTAATGATGAACTCATGCTTTGTTCAGCTCTTCTCGGCATAAAGAAAACACGCGCACAAGCGGGGCGGGCACAGCCTTTCCCAAGCCTTTGATCGGAGCTGCCGAGGGACCTGGCTGAGCATCTTGGACCCTGCACCAAAACCATTACAAAGAAGACGCACAGCTTTACAAAACAGAAGAAGTCCGGCCTCACTGGGGTGTGTCCCTCCTGCACCACCCAGACCCCCACCATTCATCTCCGCACACAAGCCGCATCGGATTGCCGAGGGAAAGTAAACTTGGATCCAACTTCAATTGTTCTGAGATGAGTCTAGAGTTTCTGTCTACGGGAGGCAGAACGCGGGTGAGGAAACGTAAATCATCTTTGGAGAGGGAAACAACAATGCCGTGGCTTTGGGACAGAAACTCCAGCTAAGCCCTGGAAATTTACACAGCTCTCCGAAAGGAGCCAACCGCCATGTGGCCAGCGAGCATGAATTAGTGCTTCCTGAGTAAATCTCAGTGCGCTGCTGTCTCTTCCCCACAAGGCTTCCCCAAAGGGATCAGCTCAGGTCAGCTGCTCCAGTCATCCAGCATTTGGCTTCCATGAGCCGCAGACCAAGAATTTCCAAAAGGGGCCATGGTGGTTATGGCTCCCGAATGCCAGGCCTAAGCGACGCCCTGCAAGGCCCCCTGATTTGGGAGGGTCTGTGGCCTTTTGTCCCTTGGCTTAGGAAGCGCAGAGTGGAAGCCCTTCTCCTTGGCTCCTCCGGGCCGTCTTCTGGTTGCTCAAGAGATCTCAGGGAAGATCTTCCCTCCCGAGGCTTCACCTCTTCACTCGGCAACCCCACATAAGGTGCCCTTTTGCCTGCTTGGCCATGAAGCCCCCTCTGCCCCTGGGCTCAGCAATGGAAAGGGGGCAGGAGGACTCCATGTCCCCAGGGGCACGCAGGGAAATGACCCACAGATGCACCCATGTGGGGCCTGCAGAGCAAGACTGACTTGGGGGAGACCCACTTGGTCCACAGCCCCAGCCTGGCCCCGAACCTTGCAGCCCGATCCCATTGGGGGCCTGGGGAAAGGGGGCGCAACTCCAAAATGGCCCAGGTGCCCAGCAGCTGAAGGAGGAAGATCAAAGGAGCTGCCCTCAGAGGGGAAAGGGAAGAGGGAAGCAGGAGCCTCCTGCCTCCCCCAGGCTGAGCTCCATCCAATGCTGCCTTGCAGAGGAAGCCGGCCGCAGAAGGAAGAGGGGAGGCTCCCGTTTGGCTCATCCCCCCACTTCTGATGCCTGGGGGCCTTTGGGAAGAACAAGGCTTGGGGGCTTGCAGCACCATCTCTAATGAGCCATAGATGAAAAGCTGGCGATGGGGGAGGGGGGCTGGGGGGGGGAAGTGACCCATGACCAGGGAGTTTGGGGAAGACAGTCCCTGGCCGTGAGAGGCTCATGGGCCGCAGCCCTCCACCTGCGGGAGGTGAGCCCTGCACAGGGGAGGGGGCTTGAAAGGGGCACATCAAAGGTTCCCAGGAGGGGCATCCATTCTACTCCTCCCAAGCGGGAGGAAGAGGCATTTCGGGTCCTGGAAAGGCCGAGCCAAACCTGTCTCTGTCCCAGGCGGGCAGAGCGTTGCTCAGAATCACCTTGGGAGAAGCCGCAAACCGTAACTGCAGGATGCCTCCCCGTTGCCAGCCCGGGCAGAGACCCTGTTTTCACCAGGAGCCTCCTGAATTGGGCGGCCCCTTTTTCTAGCGGAGCCCACAGAGGGTCCAGGAGCAGAGGGAAGAATATGTGCCAGCCGAGGGTCTCTTCCTGTGCAGTCCAAGGATTATGGGGAAGGGGCTCCGGGGGCCACGGGGTGAGTGAAAGAACGAGGGGAAGGGGCTGCAGGGGGCTGGAAAGCTTGTTTCAGAGCCCTTCCTCTTGCCTGCCAGCCCCAGGGACCAGCAAGCCTCCTCCGGGGGGGACCCAAGCCTCCTCCGGGAGGGCCTCTTTTGAGGCATCGGAGGGCCTGAGACGAAACCTCCCCTGCCTAGTCAGTCTTGCTCTGAGCCTCTCGGGTAGCCGGGAGCAGAGCCAGAGCCCCCCCCGGAAAGGGACTGTGGGGAAGCAAGGGGGCTTCTGGGGGCCCAGCAGGCCACGGAGCGTTATCTCCCGACATCCCTGGAAGGGACCCTGGTTGGGAGCAGCGGGGCTGACCTGCTGCTCCAGGAATTCCGCAGGACAGGAAATCAAAAGCCACCTGAAGCAGTTTACACTCCCGTTGGATTAAAATATCCCAGCTGCTGCTCCTGCTTTGGGCTCTCAGAGAATGGCTTTGTTTCATCCCGCAATGCTCTCCACTTCCTGCTACCAGCTTTTCAAAGCAAATACCGAATTTGGGCAAAATCCAGAGAATTTTCATTTTAAAGGCCTATTAAAAACGAAATCCCTCTGAAATGACAGGGAACATTTATTTTGGCTGCCATTGGCAGCTCTGAACCTTTCGGTGTTTCCTTCCCACAGTAAGTCAGCCGCTGCCAGAGTCTCCTTAACCAAACACGGGCTGGAGCCCTTCACCAAATTCACCAGGACACATGACGGTCGCTCCCCCTGGCTCCAAGGGAGCGCGAAGGGACTCACAGCCTGCATGAAGGCGCCCTGAGGGGCTGAGGCTGGCACCCTGGGAGCAGGGAGCGGGGAATGACACGCAGGGCCTGGGAAATGATGGGGGGAGGGGCTGCCATCGCTGGAGAGGCGCTGAGCACCGGCCGCAACACCAACCCCCTGGCACCCGGCCTCTTCTTGCCATGGGGGCCTCCTGAAAGCTTCAGTTCCTGAATGCCAATTCAAGGGATGGGGTGATGCTCTCTTCTCCCCCACCCACCTTCCCCCCACAGCACCCACTCTTACCTCTGTGGAGCCCGTGAAGGCGATTTTATCAATCCCTGGGTGTGAAGCAATTGCCGCCCCCACGGTGGGTCCAAATCCCGGCAAAATGTTGACCACGCCTGGAGGAAAGCCCGCCTGTCAAGGAAGGAGGCAGGCAGAGAGAGAGAGCACGGCTGAGCGAAAGCCGGGGAGCTCGGGGGTCCGGGGCCACGCATGTGCCGGGGGCTCCTTACCTCTTTAATGAGGGTGCCCAGGTGGAGGGCGGTGAGTGGGGTTTGCTCGGCCGGCTTGAGAACCACGGTGTTGCCACAGCAAAGGGCTGGCGCAATCTTCCACGCAAACATCAGGAGGGGGAAGTTCCACTGTGCAAGCAAAAGGCTTTTGTTGTGAGTTAGTCAGCACATCATCTCAGTCAAGAAGAAGATAAATGTTCTCTCCTTTTATACGGTCACGGGGGACAGCGGGCATGCAAATCAATTCTGTGATCCTGCCCCATTGATTGCCCCATGCCCTCAACCCGCTCTGCGCTGGGGCTCAGCCTGAACGCCACTTGGGCAGAGCGATGGGGACACATGGAATGACTTTTCCCAAAAAGCTTCATTGCCAATTCCTGCAAGAAACGAGGAGGGGGGAGCAGATGCCACACAAACAGGGGGCCCCTTGGGAGCCCCCTTCCATTGTCGGACTTTTCGGCACCCTTCCTGCCAAAAACATAAAGCTGAAGTGCTGCGGTTCTGCTTGGTGCCCAAAGGGGAGGAAGAGGCCGGCCGTCGGCCAAGGGGAATAGTGGCCCTTTAGCTGCACTGGTCAAGAGACCCTCTGGGGCCCCTGGGAGGTCTGGCCCAGTTGTCCTGGGGCTTTTCAGGAATGGAGGCACAAGGTATGGCCCCCACTGCCTCCCTGCCGGATGCCCCAAACATTTTGGACCTATTGAAGACAAAATACCTCCATGAGGGTGTCAGTTTTCTTTCTTTCTTTCTTTCTTTCTTTCTTTCTTTCTTTCTTTCTTTCTTTCTTTCTTTCTTTCTTTCTTTCTTTCTTCTTTCTTTCTTTCTTTCTTTCTTTCCTTCCTTTCCTTCCTTCCTTTCCTTTCCTTTCCTTCCTTCCTTCTCTTTCCTTCTTTCCTTCTTTCTTTCTCTCCCTCTCTCTTCCTCCCTCCCCTCCTCACTTGCTCCCTTCCTTCCTTCCCTCCCACCTCCCTGTGTGAGTCTCTCTCTTGGCCAAGAGCCACCAAAGGCTGTCGGATTGTTTGGCTTTGCTTGCTCTGGTCCTGGGAATCCGGAGCCTGTGGGCTGCCTAAGAAGGCTGCCCTAAAACTCCATTAAGATGTGCAAATAAGCAGTGGAAGAGCTACGGATCTGCCTGCAGTGGGCTTCCCCTGCCTCTCCCCCGGCCCAGCCGCCCCTAATGAGAAACACACCCGGGCTGAAGCCCCTTCAAGGGAGCCGGTTCTAATGAAAATAAATACGAGGTGCAGCAGAGAGACTCACCGGGATGATCTGTCCACACACCCCGATGGGCTCGTGCCTCGTAAAGGTGAAGTAATCTCCGTCTGGAAGAGAGGGGCCTGCTTACTCTCACCAGCACCCCAAGAGGAGCAACCGGAGGGAGACGCGCAGCACACCCTGTGCGTGCGTGTGCGTGTGTGTGCGGTTCCAGGGGGACACTGGGGAGCATCACACAACCAGCCACGAAGCCCAGCTGCTCCCGTCCTCTGGCCCACACAAGGCCCCCCCCCCCGAGCATTCCTCCCTTGGGCCAGAGCCAACCCCCGTCCACCAGGGACTCTGCCTTCGGGAGGGGACTGCCAAAGCCCCCCACCTTTCGGCTGGTTCGGTGGGCCTCCTGGCTCTTCTGCTTCGCATGGGGCCCAGTCCTCTCCCTGCCTGCGAAGGCTCCCTTTGGAAAGGCTGATCCGACCAGGCGCCTGCCAGGCGTGTCTTGCTCAGAGACCGACCCAGCAGGGCCTGGCAGTGCCGGACATCGCTTGCCTTGTTGCAGAAGGCTGCAACCGATCCGGGGGATGCCGGGCACAGCACCCCCTCGGTCGTCTAGAGCAACCCCAGGGAACGGGGAGAGAACTCCTGCCTTCAGGCCAGGTGGGAGGGCCTCTCTGGGACGTTTCTCCAGGGAGCTTCTGGGAAGGAAAACACGGCACCCCCCGGCAGCATCCGAGGTCCAGCCTTGTTTCCGGCCTGACTGGGATCAGCCACGGGGCCTTCTCTGCCTTGCCATGTTTCCCACTCCTTCACGCTGAGCAATTTGGGGAGGGGGCCGGAGGGGAGGGGATCCGCTTTGGTGAGCAGGGATGTCTTCAAGGCATTCCCAGGAGCCACATAAAGAATGGCCAGTTATCAGCAAGAAGGGAGTGGGGAAAGGAAGCCGGAGCAGATACGGAGGGAGAGGGGGGGGGCGGGGAGGCTAATTAGGAAAAGGCCCAGGGGAGATAAAAGGAGACGGAGCCCCCTCCCCATCCTCCTGTTGGGTAGGCCAGTCGGCAGCCAGAGCCATCTGGAGGGCATCAGCTGTGGGCAGGCAATACCAGGCCGTGCAGCTGCAGCCAGCTGTTTCTTGGGGAGGGGCTGCCTCACCCCCAAGCGATGTTTGGGACTGGAGCGTTTCTGACCAACCGCATTCGGGAAGCCCTTTCTGGACCCCCAGCCAGGAGGAGCAGCTCTGAAGGAGCCCTCTTCTCTGCTGCGCTGGGCGGCTCTGAAGCCACTGGGAGACACGGGGCCCTGGCGCTTGGCAAGAGGCAGGCGGCAAATGCCAGCCTCCGATTCCCAGGGACACTATTTTAAAATAAAATCATTATTTTCCTCACTCCCGGGATCTATAAGGGCCGGACTTCATAAGCGTCCCTTGTGCAGGAGGCTTTCTGGGGAGGAGAGAGATGAAAGCCGGCCGTCTTCTCCACACCTTGCCTGCCCACCTGATGGGCCCTATAAACGGGGTGTCGGTGAGGCCGGGGAACAGGGCTTGACAGAAACAGGCTGCTCTGCCCAAACGCTGATCTTTCTGCGGCTGCGAATCGCCCTCCGGGGCGGAATCTGAGCAGGCAGCGCTGAAAGCTTTACTGTTTCCATAAAACCGCTGAAATTAAAAGGATCCTGCTTTAAACTGGGGCAGGAGAGCATCAGGCCGTTTCCTCGTCTTCTGGCTCTGTTTCCCAGCCTCCTCCTCCGGCTCAGGGGAAGGGGCTGAGGGTTGGGGGGATCAGCTTGGCCGCTAAAGAGAGCCCGCCAAGCAGGCTCTGCCCCAGAGAACAGTGGGTCTGCAGGAGGACCAGGGGCATGGAAGGGGCCCCTCTAGCGGAGGGTTGCCCTGAGTCTCCTCAGAGGTGACCCGTCTCCTGGAGATGCTGCTGGATCCTGAAATGGCAAATGGCCCAGCTCTGAATTGAAGAAGGGAAGGACGGACCTTTGGGCTCAGAGGAGGAAAGGAGTTTGGGGGGGTGTTAGCAGACGGCCACCCCCTGCAGTGCCCCTACCTGGCACTGGAGAGATGCCGCAGAACGAATGCAGGGCAGATTCTAACTTACCCACCGGGATGGTCAATCCGTGAATCTTGTCTGCCCAACCGGCGAAATACCGCAGGGTCTTGATGACCCCGTGAAGGTCGACGTAGAAGGCCTGGAGGAAGGGCTTCCCACTGTTCAGCGACTCCATGGTCTGCAAGGCCAAGCGGAGCAAGAATCAAGGCCTCCTTCTGGGCTTGGGAACAGAGAGAGCTGTGGGGAGGGTCCGGCAGGGACGGCTCTCTTGGAGGGGCTCTGCACACAGGGCTCCCCCGCCAATGCCGGGGCCAAGCCAGCATGCCCTCAGGGCCTGGTGCACGCGAAGGGAGGCGGCACAGGGCTTCCCACGACCGCCAATCCATCGAACGGCCGAAAGCCGCCAGAGGCCTAACCAGGAGCCTTGATTCAGGTCAAGGCAGGTGGGGCCCCGTGTGATTCATCCAGAGGCCCCGCTTGCAAGACCAAAGTCCTGAGACCCGGCTGAGGCTTACGCTGAGGTGCTCAGGCAGTTCTGTGCTGTCTTTTCCCACAGGCTTTTCCTCAAAGCCATTCCGGCAGCAGTTTTCTGGCATGTACCCCTGAAAAGTGGCGAGCCCTCCCTGAAGCAGCCTGGCTCCCCAGGGGCCGGAGGTGCGACCCGTCCCCTCTTTGAGGGCTGCCCCCCGCCCAGGTCACCCCGAGCAGCCTCTCGGCCTCAGCACCAGGCAAGACGTCGTCCGGCCCTCTGGATGCTGGGACCAAACAGCTGCCAGGTGGCACCCCCCAAAGAGGAGGCGGATGGTCCCTCCAGGGAGAGCCGAGCGGGTGCTCAAGAATGCCCGTCCCAGCTGCGGCCCGAGGCTCCTCTGGCAGTGGAGATAGCTCCCATGCCCTTCCCCACCAAGGCCCCAAGCCAATCAAAAGAGGCCGCGGGCCCTGGTGGAGGAGATCTTCCCATATTCCTCTTAAGGAGCCCCATAAAATGTTCGCTGCCACGGCTTAAATCACTTTTAAGAGCCCCCATTATCTGCCCACGAAGGTTGCGGCAGAGGAAACGCATCTGTGGAAGCCGCTGGGCGAGAGCCATAAATCCAGCTGAAGCGCAGGAGGGCGGCGGCTCCTCCCTTTCCCTGCCGGTGGGGCCGGCAGCGGCATCTGTGGCGGACAAATTCAACAAAGGTTTGGCTCAGGAACCGCAGCCACCGGCCGGCGGCCGACTGATTTGCTGAGCCCCTCCCTTCCCCCTGGGGTGATTTTACAGCGTCTGCTGGTGGTGAGATGATTTAAGTGTTGACAAAGCTGGAATTAAGATGTTTGCTGGCTTAGTTCAAAGCGCCTGACGTGTGGAAAATAACATTAGCCATGCCACCATGTCGGCTCTCACCACGTGCTCCACCGCCGTGGGCTGGGCCATGCAGCTCAGCGGCTCTTGGGCACCCTGGGGGGGTGGGGGACCCAGAGCTGCCCAGGGGGGGATCGGGATGCCCTCTTTCGCCCCCTGGTCAGCCGACTCTGCCTGGAGCTCAGCGTCTCCTCCTTCTGTTGAAACCCCAGAAGAAGCACTTTGAAAGGCAGCTTCCTCCGGCAGCGTCTGGCCTCCTCCCACAATGTCCCACCCGCTGGACTTACAGCCAGGAGGGCGCGGTCTCTCTCCACCAGATCAGCCAACTTCTCCAGCAAGCGTCCTCGTTCAGAGGCGTCCATCCTCCGCCACACCGAGCCCAGGGAGAAGGCCAGCCGAGCAGCCTGCACCGCCTTGTCTGTGTCAGCCTGGGAAATGGGAGAAGCAGCTGGGATAGAGATGCCCCCCCTCACTTGGCAACTGGAGCCCCCCCCCCCCAAAAGCAGCAACCTGCCGTTTCTGCATTCTGGGACGGGGCCCGGGGAGATGGCGGGGGGGGTGTCAGCTCTTCTCCGGCCACAGAGCCGGCCAGGCCGTTGGCATCTGGGCATTTTTCTCTTAGGCGGATCTACCTCACAGGGGTGTTGTGGGGAGACGCAAGGGCAGGCTAGAAACACCCCTTATCTTTACCTTGTCAGCTTCTTGCACGTCACAGATCTGTTCTCCGGTTGCAGGATTAAATACGGGGAATATTTTCCCACTCTCTGAATTCTGCCACTCATTGTTGATAAATATCTGAAAAGGCAAGAAAAAAAATGGGCCTTTTGGTTCTGGCTAAAATGCAGACCTTACCTCTTCTGGCACCCGGAGGGGCCTTTCCCACCCAGCCTCCCTCTTCCACCGGAAGTCCTTTCAGGACTACCATTCCCAGCATCCCTGGGGGGTCACCATTATTTCTCCCCGGGGGTCATGGGAGTCGTAGTTACACTTGCACCAAGTTCTCCCTAGGCTGCTTTCCCTGGTTTCAGGCTTCCCTTCTGGGAGCCAGGACGGAGGCTGCCCTGTTGGACGACTTGCAACCGGCAGAGAACACCCTGCCTGGCTGTGCCTGGCTTAGAGGAGGGGGAAAACTCGGGTCCTTCCCTCAGGCTCCCCATCTGCCCCCCGAACCTCCAAAGTGGATCCGGCTTTCCTTGGGGTGATGCTCCCCAAAGCAACCGGCCACAAGCAGGCTGAAAGCCCCCCCAGGGGACCTTCCCCATTCGAGGCTGCCGAGCGTGGCAGGGGTGCCTCTCGGGCGTCTGCCTCTCACGGAAACAACGGGCTCTTCCTGGCCTGGAGTCTCGCAGAGGCAACGGAGGAGTTGCTACTGTTAATGGTTAACATTTGCTTCTTCCTGTCCCAGGACGTTGTATAAACAAAACTCAGTCTTTGCCAGCTCCTTCCTGTAAATGGGCTGCCTTCGATCTGGCTGCGAAGGGGGAATATTTACTCTCTCCTCATCCAACGTCTTGGAAAGGCTCCAAGTCCTGAAATTCAGCAGCTGGCGGCTTTACAAGCCCGATCTCATGCTGAAATAACTCACTTTTGGGGAGTTGTAGGCATTTGGTGTCAGGTAGTGCCACGCCACAAGCCCCCCCCCCTCCTCCCTGCTTGGAGGATTCTCCAAGGATAAATGAGGCTTTGGCAGGACTTTTAAGAACCTCCAGTGGACGTTGATGAAATGCCGAGAGCCGCACATTTGATCTGACTTTCATTAGGGCCAGTTCGTAAAAATGCCACCGGCTCGGACAAGGATGACACATTGTGCGAACGGGGATCCCTGCAAAGCCTCAAGTGGGGTTTTCGTTCCCCTGGTTTGTTTTGCTCTTATTTATTGCTGCCATTGTAGTGGGCAACGTTAAATCAAGGCGGCTATTTGACAGCAAATGTTGCTATCAGTGAATTATATCCAGCTCTTCCCCAGCCCAGAGGAAGAAAGGGACGGCCTCAGGGAGAAAGGGCCCCTCTGTAAATCATGCCCAGATTGGCACCGCCCAGAGGGGGCATTGTTCCTGCTCAAGGGGGAAAGCTCTCACAATTGCCCTGGAATCAGGGTTAATTAAGGCTAGCTGCAGTCATAAATCAGCTGGGGGATTTTTACAGCTTAATTCAGCCTTAAGCCACAGTGCGTGCTGGTGAATGTATGGAAGGTAACTGATTAACCAGGTTTCCCAAGAGTTGCTAAGACGGGTGTTTTGGGCTGAACCCAGAGTTACAGCTCTTGGAGTGAAAAAACAAGGGGAAGGGGAGTAGCAGTTAGCCACAGGCCTTGTCATCCAAAGCCCTGACTGTGGCGGCAGGCTCTCTCTGTCAGGTTGGTGTGTGTGTGTGTGGGGGGGATCATCCTGGAAAGGGTGGGTGCAAAGAGCTCTCGGGCCCCCAACTCCGTCCCTTGGGCTCTGACTGAAGCCCTCAGCTGCTCCAACCGCTGGGCAAATGCCACCGGTGCCCATCGTCCCTCTGTTGGCCACAGGTCAATGGGATTGTGGCCAGTTTTAAGGGTAGAGAAATGGAATAGCTTCAAATGCAAAAACATCTTCCACTCTTTTCATAGCCGCCTTTTGACGAACCAGTGGAAAGCATCACCTTGCAATGGCTCCTCTTTGTGGCCTGGAGCTCGGAGAGGCCGCCGGATGCTTCTGGCTCACTTGGGCCATTTCTCTCAAAGGGAGAACTTTGCAAAGAGAGATGGAGATTGCCGTCCATTTGGCCCCGGAGTTCCCATCGCTCTCTGGCTCCCATTTCCTTTGCTGGGAGACTATTCCATGCTACTGCAGGAGGGGATGCGCGATCCTCTCCGTGCCGCTAGGGGTGATGTCGCTGGGCTGCCTCTTGGACCCTCCGCCCACGTCCAGCAGAGCCCTGTCCGGTGGTCAGCAGTGGAGACTGAATGTGCTTCCCTGGGCCTTGCTTTTCTCTGGTCTTAGTAAGCTTTTTGACATTCCAGAAGGATTTTCCCCCTTCTGTACAGGAAAGGGATTTCAGCATCCACTTAATAACAGCCCCCCCCCAACCCCTCCCCCCACAGGGGGAAAAGCAGGTTTTTGGATGAATCAGAATTTCCCAGTTTTCACTTATTTAGTAGCTGGTTACAGTTTCAGTTCCATCCAAGTGATTCGTTTTTCATGCGATGCTTGATCCTCTGAGAGCTTTTGAGGCCAAACCTGTAAAATTGGAGGGAGGGGCACGAATGCCAGAGACGCTTCTGGAGGAATCACAGCTGTTTGGCCCCAAGCATCCATCCTGCGGCTGGAGCTGAGTACATAACGGTACTTTTTTGGTACAATTTTGAAAACACGCAAAAAATGCGGCAGCTTCCCTTTCCCTTGGTAGTTATTTCATAATCCCACTGACGCTGGGCCAGCACTTGCGCCTCTGGCCGTGCTCCAGCCTTCCTGTCCTCATTCTGGGCAGATGGACTCTGGTGCTCTTCCCAAGGATGAGCCACCCTGCTTCCCGGCTTCTGAGAAGTTGTTCTCTGCTGTGGGCCTGGTGGCTGCCCTGATCCACGCGGGGCCACTTCCACGCAAGGGAAGATCCTGAGCTCAGCTGAGCAGGGGAGATGGGACATCCCCCCCCCTCCAAGTAGTCCTCCACCTTCGCCTGGGAAGAAGTTCAGTCCTCTCCCGGTGGAGAGAAGGAGGAAAGCAGCCCTTTGGGACGAGTCAGGGGGAAGGAAGGAAGGAAGGGGGGTCTTTCTGCACATCACTCCAGAACCCCCACTTTCGGAGACAGAGAAAGAATCCACTCCCAAAGCAAGGAGGGAGGGCAGGCCCCCAACCACCAGCCGCTGGATCTCATTCAACTCCTAGGATTCAACGGCTGTTTGCAGGGAGCAGCTTGACACCAAGCAGGCCCTGCTGGGAGAGTTTCCTGGTGGATTGGGCCCCTTTTCAGTAAGACAGGGTTGAATTATGCCTCTCTGTGTTGTTTTAGGTGAAGAGAGTAATTCTAGCCTTCCTGTTAATAATCAGCTTCTGGAAATGCCGTTCTTTACTAGAGGACACCTCATCGTTTTAGGGAGGACACAATCTCTCTCAATATTTATCTCTCAAAAAGCAAAACAAAGAGAGGCCATGGGAAAAGGACGGGGAGGGGGGCAGCCCCCCATTCCGCCTGGCCTGGGAGGCGCTTTCTCCACAGAGATGAGGAACGGCTGGAATGCCGCTGGCTCCGTCTTTCCCGGCCCCTTTGGCCCGATGCTTCTCCTTCGCGTGATAAATCACCAGCCGAGCGCCCACCTTGCCTGTTTGATCTCAGCTCAGCAAGATTCAGTTCTGAAGTGAAAAACTCCAGGTCTGATAGGGCAGAGGCGGAGGAGCACAGAGCCCCCTGACCTGGGGGAGGCCCAGCCCACAGAACGGCCCAGCACACACAGCCCCTGCTCTGCCAGCCAGCCGGCCTCCTTCCTGCTTTCCCAAGCCCAGCCTATCCGGGGGGGGGGGTAGGGGGGCTTATGACCAGGCTGGTCCTAAAGAAGGCCCCCCCCGGCCCAAACCACCCTCACAGCCAAGCGCTCCTCCTGCAAAAGCCAAGCTTGCAGACGTCAATTCGCCCCCAGCCCAAGATTTTGCCTGAGGGGCCAAAGCATCTTCCGGCAGTTGCCAAGGAGGGTTTCTGCGGAGAGCTTGGCCCGGGTGGCAGCGCCACAGAAGTGTTCGGAAGGGGGTCTCTCCATCACAGTTGCCCTCAGACGGAACTGAATTGCAGGCAGCTCAGAGATCTTTGGATCCGCCCAGGTGAGATCCTTGCTGATCCATGGGGCCTTGGCGCTGGCCACCCGTGATCCCTTTGGGGTACGCATCAGGCATGGCTGGCATTAGGAGCCCCAAGGATGCCCAAGTCCTCAAGAGGAGGGCTTTCTCAGGTGGGCATCCCAGGCATCCCACTCAGCCCCCCCCCCGACCCCCAGGAAGAAGGGTTGGGTGAGCCCAGACAGGCCTGTGGCCTCCTCCGCAGCTCCTGGCCCTGCTCTCTGCAGCTGCTGGCCTACTTTCCTCACAAACAGCGCCTGGTGCTTGTGGAGAACATCCCGGCCGCTTACTGGCCAGGCAGCCTGAGGGGGGGAGAAGGAATGGGGGGGGGTGCCTGCAGCTGCACAGCAGGAGCAAGGAAGAGGAAGAGCCTTTTGCTCCCCCTCCCGCCTGGCCACTGCTGCAGCTCTGTCTGGCGTGGAGGCTCAGCCAAGGGTGGCAGTCAAAGAGGGGGCTGCAGGGGGGACTCCCGGATCCCGGCGCTGGTTCCAAAAGGTGATCCAGCCCCCTGATGCAGAAACCAAAGGCTCCCTCCCTCCGCCGGGTTTTTCCCACCCTCCAAAGCACCCAGGGAGTCACAGGCCCTCCGCACCAGTGCAAGCCCCTTGCACCGCTGGACGCATCCCTTGGCTGTTGGCTTTGGCTTAACACAATATGGGAACCTAGCTTATTCCACAGACCATCATTGCATGAGGCATGGCATAGTGCCGTGTGGTGGTAGCCCTTCCATGAGGGCATTGAATGGGCACCTAACCCCCTCTTTCCTGAACGTCTGAGTCGGGACAGCCTGACAAACATCCGTGGCCAGCAGGGTCTCCCTTGGGGCTCTTCCAGCCATGAACCCGGGCCCTCCACTCTTTCCTGCCCAACGCTGGGCACATTCTTGATTCTGGCAGGGGTCCAGGCAACGTTGCACAGACAGAGACGGACTACAAGCTAATAATGTTCATCTGAAATTCACCCAGCGGTGATCCAAAGCCTTCTCTGCTTCCCTGCAGC